CACTTTCAGTCCACTTTCAGTGCACTTTCCAGCTGGATTTTGCCCGTTCACACAGTAAAAATCCAGTTGGAAAGTGCATTGAAAGTGGATTGAAATTAGATTATTTAGCGTATGACCACAGCCAAGAAGTTCTCCAGTCATTCTGCCAGAGGGCTCCGCTCCCATACAAATTGTGTGGTGGAGTTGCATCTGAATCTGCACAGGCATGTACACATTTCTAAAGATCTCAGATTGCAATGCCAGTGTCAGTGGGTTGTACCTGTGAAAACATTTTTCTCTTTAGTGCTTTAGTGATTTAATGCTTGGGGGTGTGTGTGACAATTCTTGGCATCTCTGGAAGCCTTCCACAGTGGCTGATAACACAGCAGAGAATCCCCTAGTGCACGGCAATATGAAAAACTGGAATTCAGAGATGCTCGTCAGTTTTTTTAAAAAAAGTCTGGTCAGTTTCAACATCAGGTTTTCCTCCTTTGCCTGTGTTCCTTCTGTTCCCTTTCATTCAATGAACTAATCCTACAGTGCGTGTGTAAAACCTGAACCATGCGGATTTAAAGGGAACATGCTTGCTGAATGCTACAGTGGGGCTTCGTTAGGGCAATTGCATAATATGTTTTTTAAAAAAAAAAAAAAAACTTTGGACGCCTCCCCCCACATGTCATAAGAGATGTCCCACCCCAGTTTAGAAATTGTAGGTGTAGGATAAATACAGTGAAGGAAAAATAATAGTGCGTCACAAAATCCAAAGTGAAGATTAAAGGCTTACTGCTCTGAAAATCTGCAGTAAAATGCATGTGCGTAATGGGTCTATTTATCCATCCGTCCATCCATCTACTTCTGTATCCACCCATCCTATTTTGGACTTCTCTTTCCCCCCATGCCCTCCTCTCTGTATCCACTCGGTGTCCATTGCTGGGGCCACCCCCCTCACTACAGAACAAGCAAAAAAACTTTAGCTTCATCTAAGGCTCATGCTACTCCTTTGCTCCTCATTTAGTGTCTCCACGTCACGTTCTTAGGAATACTACAGAAATACAGACTTTCCTTTGTGAATACTCTGGTTCATGTTCTTGACTGCTCTGGCCTTAACTACTGATGTTCTCTTCTCTGACCTTCCATGGTCCCGCCTCCATCGTCTCTCCTCCATGCAGGACTCTCCCCACGAAAGTACAGATTGTTTGCCTCAGCTCCTTAAACCTCCAGACAGTTCTGCTTCCCCTCCTGGATCCAGCATGATCTTATCATTAAGAATAGTAAATTCTAACCTGGAGAGCTATCTTTGCTTCCCCACTCCTCCTCCTCCACGTGCAGCCAGCTGGGTGACCTTGGGCCAGTCCCAGTTCTCTCCAAGCTCTCTCAGCCCCACCTGTGTCACAAGGGGCCTGTTGTGAGGAGAGGAAGGGAAGGTGATTGCAAGTGACGATGGGACTCCTTAGGGTAGAGAGAAGTGGGGTATAAAAACCGACTCTTCCTCTAGAACCTGGAAGCCACAGACCTTTCCACTCCTGGGCTGTGGCTCAGTATTAGATCACCTTGAGCCAAAGCACCAAGAGCCATCATCTGCCTGATCTCCTATTAAATAGCTCCGTCTGGAGATCAGCTGCAATTCTGGGACATCCCCGGCCTCCTCTTCAGGCTTGCCTTTAAACCTTCCATCTACCTGGACTTGGTTTAACTGTGAACTCCACGCCCTCCTCCTTCACCCCTCCATAGATGTCCACTCATCTCTGGCTTCCTTCTGACTCCTGAACGAGGGACTTCTCTCCCTTCATGTACTTGCCACTATAAGCGAATAATGGTCGTGTATGCTAGGGAGTGTTGCCTGCAGAGACGTTTGTGTCCTCTGTGCTTTGGCCTCTGATCAATCTGTCCAGCCTGTCCAAATGACTGAGACGGGTCTCACCCCCTGTGGGTCTTGGTTCAGTGGTCCGTAACTGCAGCGCAGGCAGGTGAGAGCCATGCTTCTTCAGCATTTCCTTTATTGGGGCACTGTCTCGATGGCCCATATTCAAGCCACCGAAGTGGCAGAGACGCTAATCCTTCATTCTTCTATCTAGCACAATCCTTGAGTAAAAATACATGTGGTCTCCATTCATTTCTCCAGAACAAACCGTAGCTCAGTGAGGCTCACCCGGAGAGGCTGTTGGCAGCCAAAATGCTCAGGAAGCCACCCCCTTTTGTCTGCCTGCCATTGGAGAGAGGAATTACTCAGCCTCTAGGAACACTGTTGGCTAGGAAAACCTACTCACTTTTGCCCACGGATGACAAATCACGGCTGGGTTCTTCCACCTGCAGGCGTTCTGCTCCTCTTCCTCCCAACCACAAGCAGACCGAGCAACTTAGCCTAGGGTTGTCAGGATGTTA